GCCTCTAATTAAGCACACCAAGCAGAAAGTAAGGGTTTCCTAGGGACACAATCAAAGATTTATTTTTTCAAAACGTACCACAACATATACAGTAGAGAAATATGAAACTGTTTTATTGGCTTTAGTTAGCCTGCATCAGAAAGCCATTAGTAATCAGTCTTACAAAGTCAGGTTTATCCTATAATGTATACAATTCTATTTATCACAATGTACATATACATCTCATAAGGAAAAAATTCTACTAGAAATAGAGAAACTCAGAACAAAAACAGCAGCACTTGAACAAACCACAAGAGTGGCTTCATTTTCAACAGGGTAAAATGATCACAATCATGATGGCAGGCTGCTCCTGATTATTGGCAATCCCAGAGTGCCCAGAATGGCAATAGAAAGGAGATTCGAGAAGAAACTGAGTTGACAGACAGACCGAGAAAACGTCTGGCGAAGGGTATTATGTGTGAGATACATCAATGTACAAAAAACACCCAGACAGCTCATTCCATGGCCAACCAGAAGACACAGAGCACCGCACTGTCTTGGACTACAAATCAGATGGTTTAATCACAACGTTCTCTGCTGCAAAAAACTCCAGATTGCAACCTGTAGCTTGACTGGTTCAGAATTCGAGGAGGTTCCAAAATTTCAGGTTTCAAGAGGGCTCACTGACATTTACATCATAATAACTCAGAAATCACTAGAGCATGAGATTAAGTTTCATTAACCTGGACCACTTTCCAAAGAATTCTTTTAACTCTCTGCCTTCATACAATGTTAGATAATTAATCCCAGGTAGCCCGTTTGGTTGCTAGTAGTGTTTCTTAACGATCCTATCCATGATCTCATCTTGAAAGAAGCCAGGGTATCAGCTTTGCAATATTTGTTCCATAGAACCACAACAGTTTGTGCTGAATAGAGCATCTGAGACTCCACACAAAATGCACTTTCCCATACACAGAGACAAATACATTACCTGAGATATAATTACAATTTGCTTTATGGCTTCAGTAGAGAACTATAAACATGAAGCAATTGAATACTGAATAATCCACTCTGGCAAGAAACTATATGCAGCTATCACAGGCTATCTAGACATATTGGATTCTCAGACTATTTTTACCATGTCTGCTAGACAAATGTTCTTCACAGAGAAAGAAATTATACTGAAAATATGCATTTCACAAAGCAGAATTGTTAAGATAAAATATTTGGAGAAGCTTAGCAAATTATCACTTTCTGGTCAGTGATAAAGGCCCCTGGTAAGCACAGACGGCACTGAACAATGTTTCAATCAATTCTAACAAGCACAGGTGTCTACAAATATGCAAGTGATACAAAAGAGAGAAGCCGCAGCACATGAAATATTCTGATTTGTGTAACTTGTGCAAAAGCGAATATCCAATCCTTTTGAAAAAAAGTAATTCACACAGATCAATATAATTTAAAATCATACAAAGAGACTACTATACTACAACTCTAATACAAATCATTCTAAAGAGAAATCAAAATATTTTACAAACATACTTTAAAATTGCCAATAAAATATAAATTGGGTGAAGACCTTTTCTCACCCCCTAAAAATGAAATCACAGAAGTCTCTGTTTACATCTTTATATTACAATCAATATGGTACCTTTAGTCAAGCCAGGTACTGTATGTTCATAGTTTTACCTGCTGAACAGTAAAAAGGGCTGTATTTCAGACTGGGATTCCCATATATAAGAAAGTGTTCTTTTAACCAAGGCTTTCATGGTAAACACAGACAAACATTATCAGATTCTTGGCACGGCCAGTGGTTTTATAAACTTGCCTTTTTTCTGATTAAAGATTCTGTTATTGGAACTGGGACTTCTTGCTCCCCAATCTCACTGACAATGCAAGTGCTAATTCCATGCTGTGATTCATCCCTTCCCTGCTTCATTCCATTAAAATCCAGCTGCGCTCAGCCCTGTGCAAGAAAGCCACAGATCAGGCCAGTACAATTCCTCAAAAAAATGCTAAATGTTAAGTGTTCCGGTGATAAGCATCTTGCTATCTAATCTTATGGTCTTTGCTAAAGGGCTAAAACTGTCCTTTTAAGTTATGTGTACCGAAGCGGTTTTATCTAAAGGCAGCTTCAGTTTGAAATGACATCAAGAATGTTTTGTATGTGTCATGTGGCACTTGTTTCTCATGCAACTGCTAAAGCTACATAACAAGAAGTAGGAAGAACGTCTTAAGGAATACATGGTGGCATGGAAAGCACAGCTCGATTTACACAGAAAAAAAACTTTGGGAAGGAGCCAGATTCAGTTCACTGTAGAAGTCGAAATGATTAAATTGATCAAAATGAAAAAAAATCAAATGTGCTTGGTTGTTGAGTGACTCAACAAACTATGAAAAGGCGGTTGCTGCAGGTGGAGCACTATGACCCAGAGGTCTCAGGCTAGAACCCGAGTCTGTAGCCTGCTGCTTAGGAAACCCCAGCTTACTGACTGGGATTCCCCTTGCAGCTGCTTGGAGTTAGTAAAGTATCGCCAGAGCAAGGCAGACAGCAATCAGTAAGGGCTCTCTCAGCTTTCCATCAAAGGCCAGCTTTCTGAGCACCCGGATGTGATGTCAGAGAGAAACCCACCCCTCATCCAGTCAGTACTAACTCTCCCGTCAGGCACCACTGAGCCTGCAGAGTGACCAAAGAGCAGCGTCTCAATAGGAGGGCAGGTCAGACTGAGGCTTGTCCCTCAGTCCTCATTCTCTCCTTCAGCAGTACTGGAGTCGCTGCTGTGAGCCGAGACAAAGAAACATTTGGCGAAAGCAAATTGGGTGTGGAAAGAAAATCAAAACTAGGAAAAAAATTGTTCAAATAAAAAAAATATTTCCCCCTTGCATCGCTAATCATACAATACAAACTGGAAGTAATGTTTCACTGAGTTAATTTTGAACTTTATGCTGCAAATATTGATTGCTATGCGATTGTCAAAATTTTCTTTCAGTTTATAAACCATTTAAAGCCCAAGTAACTAATATTACAGTACCTCAATGTTTATTTAGTAAGGTTTAAAATGAAAAGCACACAAAGTAATACGAAGGGTAATAACTTAATTCACTCTGATTTACCTGTTCTAACTATATTAAATGTTAAACATCTTTTTGCAATGTTTAGAAAATGTACCTCAGAGGTTTCCTAGTGAAGCTATAAGGGAGGTGTCTAATAGTGATGATTTGTTCTAGGATCTGCTGTCCTAGAATACAACAAGGATAGTGTGACAGGCCAGTTACTTGTCTAGAATGGCACCAGTACTGAAAGGACAAGCTTATAGACAAGTTCCAAAAAAGAAATTAAAAATTTAATTTAGTTTATAAAATGGGAAAGCCACCAATACAATAGCCGCTTTTAAATTATATGCCTTTTAACTTTCTATGTTTTGGGAATCACCAAGAAATATTTAGTGCTTGCTTAGGCGTATTACTAAGTAGTAAAATTCTACAAGAACTGAGTAGTAAAATTCATGGAAAAAAAATATTTGCCGACTTCTGTAATTGGGATTAACCTGGAAAGTTGTTTTTACATGATAAAATGGTAAAATACGTGCAGTAACAGTGATTCGTGCAATTCATTATGCTGTTTTTTTGTCAGTCTTCAGATCAATTGAAGCTATAAAACTGTTTAACATTAATATATCTCATTGCAGTACTGTATTTCTCTGTAAAAGACGTGCCTTCTGATTTTAAAGAGTATTTTCATAAAGGAACTTTCACTGCTGCACTAGTGAGTTTATCATAGCCTCGTTAGCCTGTAAATGCTACTTAAAAATCCGGAGGTAATCAGGGTTTATTATCGCTTTTAACAAATGATTTCATTCTTCTGACTTTTACAAAGCAATTAAGCACAGTGCCAATAATAGGCTACGAACACTAATACTGTGGTTTTGTAACCAAATTTAGAAGAGTGTTTTAATTAACATGTAGTTCTTTTACGGATCTTACAAGACTGAATGAAGATTAAAATCATTACACACAGCAGTACAGTCATGGGAGTGCCCTGAAGTCGCAGTTTAAATTAACCTTTAGGGTATCGGCTGTTCAAGGAACATTTAGCTACAGAATAAAACAATAAACGGCCTTATGCCATAACGTATTTATAAACAATCCAATCTGAATGAAGTAAATAATGTTTAGATTACACACACCTTAAGAAGTTAAATGCAATCAGATCAGAAACTACCCACAGTACAACCGGCTGGACGCTGGGCTCTCACCAAAAAGACCCAGGAGAACCCGGGGACCCGCCCGCAAACATGGTTTGAACTAGGTCCACAACAACAAATTATCGATTCCTCTTATTGGAAAAAAAAAGTTTTAACAGATCAAGGCTCTTCGTTGTAAAGTCACTCGCGGTAGGGAACATTTCACGACAAAACCATGTAATAACTGATTTATGAACGTGAAACAAACATATGGAGAGGTAGTGTGTATGTTTGGTAGATGGATAACAATATAAAACCCCAAACACCGCTATGTAAATAACTAAGTACATCAAACAATGAACAACCTTTATTATTTAGAAGCGCCGATACCTTAAAAAAACAAGATGCAATAAAATTCATGCTCACAGCGGGATGACAACATTGAGGAGCCAACCTAATCGACTTGTCAGTCTGTGTCAAAGCTCCTGTCGCTTGTTTGCAAAACACAAGGGCCACCCAAAAAATAAATCACAATTTCTACTCGCTTGTACAGATACAAATGACAACAAGCACGATCCCGATTAATAGTCATACGATTCTCGAGCTTTTGAGCATCTTCACGGTTTCAATTCTTACAACTTAAGAATTAAAAAATAATTTCAAGAATCTTCAGCAATTGCGAACCTCACAGCACTGTAACTAGTCCTCTTTTTTTTCCACAAAATATATGCCGAACAAAAAGGAGGGGCTTTGGATTTACGAAATCGACGTTGGTTTTAGCGTTCCTGGATTTTTTTTTCCTTCACGTTAGACATGGTGATTTATCTGCCGTCTTACCGTCGATATTCTCCCTGTCGCTGATGTGCTGAAGGTTGCAGCCCGTGTCTTCTCGGCTGAGCTCGGGCTCCGGGCGGTAGGACTCCAGCCTGGAGTGAGCGTTTCTCCGGAGCTTGGGGCTGGAGGACACGCAGCAGGACGTCGTGTTCCCCATTTTTAGGGTTGTTTTTTAATATACTCAGTGCTCTTCAGCTTTGCTTGGCAGCACAGACCGAAGCTGGTCTTGAAAGAGAAGGCTAGGGCGCCGAGGGTGGAACTGCAACACCAGAATATCCGATCAGTTATACACCCTCGTCCGGTCCTAGCTAGCAGCAGCAGCAGCAGCAGCAATAATGCAAAGCCATTTGCGAACAGAAAAAAGAGCAAGAAATCGGAGAAAGGTTTGAAACCCTCTCCCTTTTCTTTCTGCCCGCCTGATATTTTAAGCAGGCACTGAAATCTGCACAACCCACGCAGCAGTCTGGTTTACTTGTCGTGATTGATCTAAATAAACAAAACGAAAGGGGGTCTGCTGTTATCCCCTCGTCATTTTAAACCCATTAACAGGGGAATGTAAACTGAGGATGTTAGCGAAACATTGCAAGCGTCGCGGCTCCTGCTGTCAGTGTACATAGCAAACAGAGGCAACACAGTCGAAGCAGTTTGATTGAAAAGGTTCCGGTTCAAGTGGGTGGTAACGCTTCTGCAAAATTCGCTGCTGGGAGCCTAAAAATGTGTTGGACAGGAAAGAATGGAGGGCTCAAGCGTAATATGTAGTTTTTCCCCTGGAAATGAAGTTTTTCTCTTGTCGTAACTGCGTTTATTATTAAAATAGCTGTACTCATTTCGTATTTTGTAAATTAAGTAAATATAAGAACGGTTGTATGTTACACGTAATTTACTGTACACCACAGAAAGGTGTTGTTATCTGTTTTATATGAATACAAATGTTTCTTTTTGTTTTAGCTTTTTGTAAGTATGTTTGGCGCTAGGATAAAAAATGATTAAAACCTAGAAATTATAATGTTGGAAAGGTCTCTAAAAAGATATCTCGGATTATTTAAAAAAACGGTTTGGTCCCATTTCCTGCTGCCCAACTATTAGTAATGTTATTATTCCAGTAATCAAAGTAAATTGTGCCAATAAATAAAAAGACAGAAAAAGAGAAAGGAAATCCTTATTTATTAGCATATAAATGATGTCTATGGACATCACATACTCTTCACTTGGTGTTAAGTATTAATTTCTATCACATGTGGGAAAGCTGTAATAATTGAATAGATATTAGCTTAACCCGTCTGCTATCTGCGTGCTTGTTCACCCACAGACTGGGAGATCGTCAGTCTTACAATAGTTCTTTTTCCTACTGTAACACATTTTAGAGA